ATTAAAATGGACTGCGCCAATTTCAAATAATGTTGTGCGTTTGAATGGCTTGGCAAATTCTCTTTCCCTCAACCACGAGCATTAATACCATACAATTTAAAACACATTTTATCCAAATTTGTTAAGACCTAATGGAATCTTCATTATGATTTCTGCAATTGTTGTGCGAAAGCAATTGCAGTAACTGCACGAAATTATTGTTTTTTCGCATACTTACCAGCCAATTTAAAAAAAAACATTATGGTCTTTCACAGACCCTGAGGGGAAAAAGGGCGGTTACAAAACTACAAAACAAAGAAAATTAACAACTTGAAATGTGGTAGGTGAGTGGAAAACGCCTTTATTTCAACCAATCAGATTTGAACTTCTGGATCCAGTTTTCAAATTAACAAACAAACACTTTTTTATTGGGCCGTTTATCAAAATAGACATTTTAGTAGCTTTCAAATGAAAGACTTAGTAGATAAGCCCTTTAACTTTGGTTTATCTACGGCATGATAGCAAAGAGGTAACATACTTCCTTTATACATACGTCCTTTATCAGGTAGCATACGTAAGAGGTAAGAGGTAACATACGTCCTTTATCAATCTTCACGTGAAAAGACTATTAAAATAAGAAGGAGTCGCCGGAGATTTTTTTCATTATCGTAGGCCATTTGTATCTAGTGTCTACTGTTGGTATGAAGTTAATACGCCCTCGCTCAATAGGTTGCGTAGTTTGTCTATTTTCGGTCCAAATGTTTTTTCCCAATAGCTAAAAATAACGCTCAACCGTTAAATTATAGTCGACTTATAATACTTTCACTTTCTCACTGCTGTCAGTGGAAGTCTTGGGAAAACTATTTGCTTAGGGCATAACACTGGGTCCACGGGCGCGGGTTTAGATGTTCTAACTTTAAGCTTCCCTAAGCTAGGTCTCTCGCATATTAGACTTTGGACACATTCCAACTGCTAGATGCTGAGTTTTGATAGCGCTATTTGCACTCAAGAGAACCGTTATCACTCGAGCCAGGGGATCAGAAGGTATCTGATTGCATGCCCCGGGTTAAATCATCTCTAATATTAGTCCTATGAGTTTCGGAACGTTAACTTTCTTAGTTTCATTTGGGCGTTCTCATTATGGGTACCGTCTTATCAAACTCAAAAAGGAGCGATAATTCTTTCAAGATTTGAAGTTTGTTTGCTTTTCTACTGAACGTGTTTATTTCTGTATACCAAGCTATATGCTATTCGTCAACCTCCACCATACTGCATGCATTTCTCAAAAAACAAAATCATAATAGATTAGAATCACAGTTTGGCAAAAAATTATAGGATCACGGATCATGCAAACTAGTCGTATCAAAACACAACAATGAATAATTTTCTGCTCTTTAAGGTCTATGAACCGACTTTGACCTGAAACAACCAACAATTGTTCAAAGCAAAAAAAAAACAAAGAAATGTTTTAAACAGCCTGATAAAAATTTGCAGCTTACGCCGCTCAATGAACGCTTGCATCCTAAGAGAACAAAACCATTTCGTCCATAAATAAGTGATTAGTTCAAATTGTCCATTGAACATGCAATCGCTCACTCCTAATTTCCAAAAACTCTTAATTGAAAGACAAACATAAATATTTTTTTTTTATTAAAATTTTTCGATGAAAAACTTATCAATAGCAGAGGCCTCAGCTTGGGATATTTTTCTTGCTTAAGCTGGAACATAGTTCTCAAAAAACGCTGACAAAAATTAGACACTTAAATTTTATTGAAGAGATGGAAAGTACTAAGAATAAAATCGTCCAATGTAAAAAATTTCAAAACCTTAAACCCAATAAAGAATCGTTTTTGACTTCTATTTGACTCAATCAAAACCAGGCTACGCCAAGTTTCCCGGGTCAAGTTCTTAAGAAAATAAAATCAAAGTAAACTTCTTGTGAAGAACAACAATGCTTAAAAAGTGAGAAAAACATTTTCCTAAAAACAGCAGAGTACATTGAGCAACAAGATTAAACTGGACTGCGCCAATTTCAAATATTGTAGTGCGTTTGAATGGCTTGGCAAACTCTCTTCCCCTCAACAACGAGCATTAATACCATACCATCTAAAAATGTTTTATCCAAAACTGTTAAGACCTATTGGACTCTTCATTATAATTTTTGCAATTGTTGTGCGATAGCAGATAGCAATTGCAGTAACTGCACGAAATTTTTGTTTTTTCGCATACTTACCAGCCAATTTAAAAAAAAACATTATGGTCTTTCACAGACCCTGAGGGGAAAAGGGGCGGTTACAAAACTACAAATCAAAGAAAATTAAAAACTTGAAATGTGGTAGGTGAGTGGGAAAAGCCTTTATTTCAACCAATCAGATTTGAACTTCTAGATCCAGTTTTCAAATTAACAAAGCAAAGACTTTTGTATTGGGCCGTATAACAAAATAGACATTTTAGTAGCTTTCAAATTAAAGATTTAGTAGATAAGCCTTTTAACTTTGGTTTATCTAAGGCCTGATAGCATAGAGGTAACATACTTGTCGGATCGAACTAGTTTTGCACCAATTGATAGGTTTTTTATTGCTGTCTCTTTGCTGAACATTAGCCAAACTACGATAATACTCGAAAAAATTTGCTATCGTGGCAATGAACATCGATAATTCATCAATGGCGATCGCTGCTTTTATCATTTCGCAGCTTCGCTAATTATCAATGTGAGCGCAAACCGGGCGTGATTTAGATCATATAGCGACTCTTTTACGGTTTCCTCAGCCCACTCGTAAATTTACGAAACAAAGCTGCTCAAAATTGTTCCAACGGTATTTTGCATGTAATAAATGATGAGAAATTTTGTTCGCATGTTTACGTTGACACGTTTTAATGCATTTTATACTATGAAAAGTCGTTTTAAATAGACTTTCGTATTTTCAATTTTCAGAAAATATCAAGGGGGGACTAGAAAAGAGCCCACATCTGTAGTTATTAGAGCGTTTCAAAAAACCAAAAAAAAATCAGCAAGACCTGTTTAAGAATCTTCACTACATTCATTACTCGTAGAAAAATCAAGAGGAGGACTAAAAACAGCATCTTTTTGTTGATATAGCCTTACATCCATGCAGTCGCTCTGTTTCCAATCTCGCTCGTCACACTTCATCTCATCTGCATATTCAATCAGTCTCTGACAGTCATACTCGCTAATTAACACACGACACTTCAAGTCATAACCCTCACAGTAACTGATAACGAAGGTCAGATAGATACACAGTGTAACTCCATAGCGACTAAGGCACACACCAGCTGAAAAAAAAGGAATATTTATGTCTTTTTCTCATCCCCTCGTAAATTTTTCTACCATTTATTGCATCTAAGAGTTATTTTTTTTTCATCCGTATACATCGGATGAAATGGTTGAAATCTGAACAAACTCACTCCCGGGTCGAGGTTCCAGACTCATGTCCAGACTTTGAGGGTCGCGCTGCTTCCGGATGTAGACCCAAATTGCAAAGGCGCGTCGAGAGTTTGAGTCTAGAAAGTCTGGACATGTGTCGCGCCGTGGGCCGCGAAAATCTGGACATACCTAAGCTTGGTCGCGAAAGTCTGAAATTTTGGAATGTCTAGACTTTCTCGGCCAGCGGTGTGGCTCATTTCCAGACTTTCCAGAAACAAACTCACGGCGCGACTATGCAATTTGGGTCTAAATCCGGATGCGGTGCGACCCTTGGCGTGACTCATGTCCAGACTTAACAGACCGTATGTCCAGACATTCCAGACACCAAATCTCGGCACGACTATGCAATTTGGGTCCAAATCCGGATGCGGCGCGACACTTGGCGCGACTCAAGTCCAGACTTAACAGACCGTATGTCCAGATTTTTCAGACTTAAACTCTCGGCGCGAATAAGACTTTAAATATATAGCAAGCTATGTTGGTCAAACTCGCAAAACCCTAAAAACGTATACAAAATGTGGCCTATTATGCATTTAACAGTCAAAATGTCGAATTTAGTTATCAATTTCAGAATGACGTATGGGCTTAAGGCTTCCAGTAGAACAGAAACGGAAAAATACTGCTTAGAAATGGTTTACGTGACCGAGGATAACACAAAGACGCGTAAAATCGTTCGTGGCAACTCATATTACGACCCAAGCTCACCCTTGAATCGACCGTGGTCGATCAAGGTTTTAATTTTGGTTTCGACCCTGGTCGACTCATATATTGACTCTGGTCGTTTCATCGACTGCGGTGGTTTCTTCTATCGACCCTGGTCGGCCCCAGGTACCGAACCTTGCCGACTGTATGTATAGATGCTGGTCGACCCTAACTCTATGTCGACCTCTATAACTTGGATCGAGCGTCAATACCAAACATCTTTCGGCTCATACGACCGATACATAAATTGGTCACCTGAACCCGGGAATAAAAAGAACTCGAAGTATGTTGTTGTTTCAATAAGGTAACAATTTGTTGAACCTGACATAATTAGAAAGATTTGGATTGGATGAATTGGGGCAGCAAAACCTTATACTTGTAGTACTGCGCATGCACTAACCTTGACGCTATTAATCCTATTACATGCTATTTAATGTGTTATGTTTTCAGGCCAAATTCAAATGAGACTTAGCCTTGAAGCCATGTACATATGGCAGTTGTGTTAAGCAGAGCGTAACTCAGTAGCTGTCCCTCACAAAGAAAAGACATTATAATTCACGGATTTTAAATTCAACATTTAGTAAATTTGTCTATAAAACGAATTAAGAGTTCCTTAAAGTATCAAATGGCGCAGTCAGCGGGTTTCCTTACCCGCGACAATCGGACAGATTCGTGAATACCACTATTTTGGACAACGACAAAATCAGACCAGCCATGGCAGTTTAATATTTGGCTTGAACAATTTCTGATTGCAGTAACAGTTAAAGAAAATGTTAATCCTGAATAAAAACTAAGATATTCATAAGACGTTTTACAAGTACCTGCACCAAGACCAGAATCACCGAGAACATGAGACTATGCAACTGCAACAGCTATGCAAGTCTGGCATAATGCGGTCATCATCCCGCTGCTCAAGTCCGGCAAGCCTGCTAGTAGTATCGAGTCTTACCGGCCAGTCAGTTTAACTTCCTGCATTGTGAAGTTACTGGAGAGGATGATATTTCACCGCCTCTACAACCTCGCAGAGTCGCGGGGCATGCTCTGCCATACCCAGGCCGGGTGCCGGAAAAACCGCAGTTGTGAAGATCAGCTGATTAGGATCTCCCAAAACATCAGCGACGGATTCCAGGAACGCAAACCCAAGCGCACTGTCATGGCCCTGCTGGATTTGTCCCGCGCCTATGACAGGGTTTGGAAAGAGGACCTCCTGCTATGCTTGTTCGAGAGCGGAGTCCCTCTGTCTTTCATCCGCTGGATTTGGGCCTTCCTCAGAAACGACAATTCCGCGTCCTGTTTAATGGTAGCCTCAGCAGAACTCGTTGGCTGGTCCACGGAGTCCCGCAAGGTGCAGTGTTATCTCCTATGCTGTTCCTCTTTTACATTAACTCCGTAGCCAACGTCATTCCGAAAGATGTGCTGAACTCAATCTTCGCAGACGACCTCACAATCTGGGCCAGCGACCACAACAAGGAGACCGCTCAGTGGAGAGTTCAAGAAGCAGTTAAGCACATCGAGTCCTGGTGCCACAGTAAGAAGATGCTCTTTAGCGACAAGAGTTCCGTCACCTCCTTCTCGACAGCGTCCTGTGACGCCAAGTGGGTCCCGTCCCTTAACATGAACAACCTACCAATGAAGTTCGACCAAGCTCCGAAGCTCCTCGGCCTCTACATGAACAGGACCCTCTCGTTCCAACAACACGTTGAATATGTTGTTAGGAAAATCGAGAAACGCTGCAACCTCCTAGCCTGCCTTGGCAACACTGGCTGGGGATGGAAGAAGCGCCCCATGCGCAGCGTCTACCTGGCAACACAGCGCAGCATACTGGACTACGCCGCCCCTGCCTGGCAGCCGTGGATTGGAAAGAGCGCAGAATCAAGTTCTTTGTCGCATCACCGGCCAGACCGCCTCCTCTCCTGTGGAAGCCCTCCGCATCGAAGCGGGCCTGCCCAGCTATGAGACAACCTCTCGGCAGTTGATAGCCACCTCCAGTGAGAAAGCGTTCAGACGTCCCCCGAACCACCCAAGACGCCTCGCTCTCGAAGGCGAACAGAGGCACAGGCTCTGCCGAGACAGCTGGCGTGAGAACAGCAAGAAGTTAGAGGCCTCGCTCCCAGAAGGACTAACCCCCCGAGAGCCGCTTGCTGGCCCTACTGAGTACCTGTGGACCGCCAACCCGAGGAAATGGACTGTGAGCTCCACACTGGTTGGTGGCAACAGAACTGACAATGCCAGGACCGACGCCATCCGAGTCATCCGCGAGAGTGAGGCCCAGTGGGTGATCTACACAGACGAATCAGCCTCTGAAGGTACCCACTTTGGCGGGTCTGCTATGGTTGTGACCGAAGGCGACCCGGAGAATCCGGTCACGATCGACAAGATAAAAACCAAAGGGAGGATCATCACATCTTCCTATGAAGAAGAGAAAGAGGCCATGGACAGCGCAATCAAGTGGCTGGAAAAGAACACCATTGAAGAGCACGACAAGTTACTGATCTGCACCGACTTCCAGTCTCTGACCGCCGCTCTGGACAACAAAAGTCCTGACGTTGCCTCCTTGTGCCGTCGGCTGGATGCCATGGACCGCCACATCAACATCCAATGCGTTCCAACGAAATCGCCGACAAATTTGCCAATGAAGCCACAGAACTGGAAGACGACGCCCAACCTACAAGCCTGAAAACCGCCAAAGCAGTAATTAAACAAACCCTGAAAGACAAACCGCCCCCCCCCCCCCCACGCCAGGACAGCAGCTGTGTACGTCAACCACTCTACCGCCAAGGACGAGAAAAGAGACGCTCTCATGTTAGCGAGACTGAGAGCGGGGCACAGCATGCAACTGGCTGCGTATCGCCACCTTATGGACCCAAAAACAGACCCAAGATGCCCAAAATGCTTTCAAGATAACAAACCCTGGAACACTGGCTGCTCGAATGTCCTGCAACTCTCAGGATCCGACAATCGATATTTGGCGACACCAACACCGAGCTTTCAGTCCTTACCGACGATCCGATCAAGGCGGTTGAGCCGGCGAAGCGCTGCCTCTGAGCACGCTTCGGCTCCCACACAGAAGAAGAAGAAGCAACAGCAGAAAGAGAACGGCAAAATAGAATAGCTTTAGAGAACAGCAAAAAGGAAATTGAGGAGAAATAAGCCAGAGGCTCAGAGGTTGGCCAAAATATATAATAGTTCGAGATGCAAAGACGGAAAAAAACAGATTTGTTATAAAACAGAATTATTAAAAGCTATCCTCTTGTTGAAATATTGAAGTTGTCATTTTAAGGTATTATTGAAATGGCGGAAGTCATCTTTAAAAAAGTGAAGAGTGTTTCATACAAAAGACATAAATTATTCAACTAAAGTCAAACAGCAGCAGAAACGTTGGAAGCGTTTCAATGCACAAGCAGCCAGGTCAAAGTTTGGAACGTTGGAGCAAGAGCTTGTACGAGATTTTTCTGTTTCAAGAATGAGAAATGCGAGACACATTAACGGTGGAGACACTTGAACGGGAAGAAGTACTTGAAAGAGCAATGAAGTTCGAACATAGTAAACCACTAACTCAGCGTTCTAAAATACTAATTACTGACTTCAGGTGCAGTTTCAAACCGATCGCCACAAAACCCTTACAGGGGCCGTTTCAAAACCCATCGTCACAAAATCCCACGGCAATCATCAAACAAGAACCATTCATAGCTCTCAAAATTGATAAACATGCCTTCAGAGTGTAAAACCGAAACAAAAATCATATCAACAACCAAAATGCGAATTACAACCGGAAAAAAAGCCGTGTAAAAGATGTGGCAGACCTGTTGTGGAGGGCTATTTGAAAAACTGCTCTGCAAACCATAAAAACGTATACAAAATGTGGCCTATTATGCATTTAACAGTCAAAATGTCGAATTTAGTTATCAATTTCAGAATGACGTATGGGCTTAAGGCTTCCAGTAGAACAGAAACGGAAAAATACTGCTTAGAAATGGTTTACGTGACCGAGGATAACACAAAGACGCGTAAAATCGTTCGTGGCAACTCATATTACGACCCAAGCTCACCCTTGAATCGACCGTGGTCGATCAAGGTTTTAATTTTGGTTTCGACCCTGGTCGACTCATATATTGACTCTGGTCGTTTCATCGACTGCGGTGGTTTCTTCTATCGACCCTGGTCGGCCCCAGGTACCGAACCTTGCCGACTGTATGTATAGATGCTGGTCGACCCTAACTCTATGTCGACCTCTATAACTTGGATCGAGCGTCAATACCAAACATCTTTCGGCTCATACGACCGATACATAAATTGGTCACCTGAACCCGGGAATAAAAAGAACTCGAAGTATGTTGTTGTTTCAATAAGGTAACAATTTGTTGAACCTGACATAATTAGAAAGATTTGGATTGGATGAATTGGGGCAGCAAAACCTTATACTTGTAGTACTGCGCATGCACTAACCTTGACGCTATTAATCCTATTACATGCTATTTAATGTGTTATGTTTTCAGGCCAAATTCAAATGAGACTTAGCCTTGAAGCCATGTACATATGGCAGTTGTGTTAAGCAGAGCGTAACTCAGTAGCTGTCCCTCACAAAGAAAAGACATTATAATTCACGGATTTTAAATTCAACATTTAGTAAATTTGTCTATAAAACGAATTAAGAGTTCCTTAAAGTATCAAATGGCGCAGTCAGCGGGTTTCCTTACCCGCGACAATCGGACAGATTCGTGAATACCACTATTTTGGACAACGACAAAATCAGACCAGCCATGGCAGTTTAATATTTGGCTTGAACAATTTCTGATTGCAGTAACAGTTAAAGAAAATGTTAATCCTGAATAAAAACTAAGATATTCATAAGACGTTTTACAAGTACCTGCACCAAGACCAGAATCACCGAGAACATGAGACTATGCAACTGCAACAGCTATGCAAGTCTGGCATAATGCGGTCATCATCCCGCTGCTCAAGTCCGGCAAGCCTGCTAGTAGTATCGAGTCTTACCGGCCAGTCAGTTTAACTTCCTGCATTGTGAAGTTACTGGAGAGGATGATATTTCACCGCCTCTACAACCTCGCAGAGTCGCGGGGCATGCTCTGCCATACCCAGGCCGGGTGCCGGAAAAACCGCAGTTGTGAAGATCAGCTGATTAGGATCTCCCAAAACATCAGCGACGGATTCCAGGAACGCAAACCCAAGCGCACTGTCATGGCCCTGCTGGATTTGTCCCGCGCCTATGACAGGGTTTGGAAAGAGGACCTCCTGCTATGCTTGTTCGAGAGCGGAGTCCCTCTGTCTTTCATCCGCTGGATTTGGGCCTTCCTCAGAAACGACAATTCCGCGTCCTGTTTAATGGTAGCCTCAGCAGAACTCGTTGGCTGGTCCACGGAGTCCCGCAAGGTGCAGTGTTATCTCCTATGCTGTTCCTCTTTTACATTAACTCCGTAGCCAACGTCATTCCGAAAGATGTGCTGAACTCAATCTTCGCAGACGACCTCACAATCTGGGCCAGCGACCGCAACAAGGAGACCGCTCAGTGGAGAGTTCAAGAAGCAGTTAAGCACATCGAGTCCTGGTGCCACAGTAAGAAGATGCTCTTTAGCGACAAGAGTTCCGTCACCTCCTTCTCGACAGCGTCCTGTGACGCCAAGTGGGTCCCGTCCCTTAACATGAACAACCTACCAATGAAGTTCGACCAAGCTCCGAAGCTCCTCGGCCTCTACATGAACAGGACCCTCTCGTTCCAACAACACGTTGAATATGTTGTTAGGAAAATCGAGAAACGCTGCAACCTCCTAGCCTGCCTTGGCAACACTGGCTGGGGATGGAAGAAGCGCCCCATGCGCAGCGTCTACCTGGCAACACAGCGCAGCATACTGGACTACGCCGCCCCTGCCTGGCAGCCGTGGATTGGAAAGAGCGCAGAATCAAGTTCTTTGTCGCATCACCGGCCAGACCGCCTCCTCTCCTGTGGAAGCCCTCCGCATCGAAGCGGGCCTGCCCAGCTATGAGACAACCTCTCGGCAGTTGATAGCCACCTCCAGTGAGAAAGCGTTCAGACGTCCCCCGAACCACCCAAGACGCCTCGCTCTCGAAGGCGAACAGAGGCACAGGCTCTGCCGAGACAGCTGGCGTGAGAACAGCAAGAAGTTAGAGGCCTCGCTCCCAGAAGGACTAACCCCCCGAGAGCCGCTTGCTGGCCCTACTGAGTACCTGTGGACCGCCAACCCGAGGAAATGGACTGTGAGCTCCACACTGGTTGGTGGCAACAGAACTGACAATGCCAGGACCGACGCCATCCGAGTCATCCGCGAGAGTGAGGCCCAGTGGGTGATCTACACAGACGAATCAGCCTCTGAAGGTACCCACTTTGGCGGGTCTGCTATGGTTGTGACCGAAGGCGACCCGGAGAATCCGGTCACGATCGACAAGATAAAAACCAAAGGGAGGATCATCACATCTTCCTATGAAGAAGAGAAAGAGGCCATGGACAGCGCAATCAAGTGGCTGGAAAAGAACACCATTGAAGAGCACGACAAGTTACTGATCTGCACCGACTTCCAGTCTCTGACCGCCGCTCTGGACAACAAAAGTCCTGACGTTGCCTCCTTGTGCCGTCGGCTGGATGCCATGGACCGCCACATCAACATCCAATGCGTTCCAACGAAATCGCCGACAAATTTGCCAATGAAGCCACAGAACTGGAAGACGACGCCCAACCTACAAGCCTGAAAACCGCCAAAGCAGTAATTAAACAAACCCTGAAAGACAAACCGCCCCCCCCCCCCCCCACGCCAGGACAGCAGCTGTGTACGTCAACCACTCTACCGCCAAGGACGAGAAAAGAGACGCTTTCATGTTAGCGAGACTGAGAGCGGGGCACAGCATGCAACTGGCTGCGTATCGCCACCTTATGGACCCAAAAACAGACCCAAGATGCCCAAAATGCTTTCAAGATAACAAACCCTGGAACACTGGCTGCTCGAATGTCCTGCAACTCTCAGGATCCGACAATCGATATTTGGCGACACCAACACCGAGCTTTCAGTCCTTACCGACGATCCGATCAAGGCGGTTGAGCCGGCGAAGCGCTGCCTCTGAGCACGCTTCGGCTCCCACACAGAAGAAGAAGAAGCAACAGCAGAAAGAGAACGGCAAAATAGAATAGCTTTAGAGAACAGCAAAAAGGAAATTGAGGAGAAATAAGCCAGAGGCTCAGAGGTTGGCCAAAATATATAATAGTTCGAGATGCAAAGACGGAAAAAAACAGATTTGTTATAAAACAGAATTATTAAAAGCTATCCTCTTGTTGAAATATTGAAGTTGTCATTTTAAGGTATTATTGAAATGGCGGAAGTCATCTTTAAAAAAGTGAAGAGTGTTTCATACAAAAGACATAAATTATTCAACTAAAGTCAAACAGCAGCAGAAACGTTGGAAGCGTTTCAATGCACAAGCAGCCAGGTCAAAGTTTGGAACGTTGGAGCAAGAGCTTGTACGAGATTTTTCTGTTTCAAGAATGAGAAATGCGAGACACATTAACGGTGGAGACACTTGAACGGGAAGAAGTACTTGAAAGAGCAATGAAGTTCGAACATAGTAAACCACTAACTCAGCGTTCTAAAATACTAATTACTGACTTCAGGTGCAGTTTCAAACCGATCGCCACAAAACCCTTACAGGGGC